CTGAACATACTCCTCAGCCTTACCCTGTAAGGGGTCCTCCGTCTCCCTCCTATTTAGGAGGGAGCGGGTTATCCTAAACAGGGCGGCTGGGACCATGATACAAGCAGTAACCACATATAAAACAGCCTGTTTGGTGGGGGAGGGGAGAATCTCAGTTTAGCACAATTAACTAGAAACCAAATAGATGGGTGCTATTGTTATGATCATTTATGGAGATTCTCAGTCATCCAGGTCATGGTTATTCCAAAGGTATTTTTTTCTAGAGGCAAATGGATTTTCTTTGTTTTTCCTTGAAGACATTTCACTTTCTCATCCAAGAATCTTCTTTAATTCAGAACTGAACTTCAAGAAGCATCTTCAAGGAAAAACAAAGAAAGTCCAGTTTCCCCTTGAAAAAAGCATGTTATAATTGTTGTTGTCCTTTGCTGACAGTATACATATCTATTATTACTATTATTTCCAGGTGGGATTTTTTTAAAGTTTTTAATCCTTGTTGGTTGCCCAAAGTTGCTAAAGTTGCAAGATGAATTGCCATATAATAAAAACAGAAGAAATTAACTCATGCATTCATGTCCATGTTTTAGAATTTCCAGACCTCAAACATCTCCATCCTAATTCTGTACATCACCCTAAAGGAAGGTGTGTATTCTAAGTTTAGCACACACAAAAAATGTCTATTTATGAGAGTTCGTAATTTTTGCTAAAGAACAAAGTTGTTTTGAAAACTTTACTTTCATTTTCAGGGTTCTAATCATATTCCTTTAATAATTTTTAACATTATTGGAAATATACTACACACTTACATTGTAAAAGGACTAATTCAAGAAATAAAACTTCAATTGTAAAGTGAGTTTGCCAGGATCAGTCCCAAAAATTATTATATGATATTATACACCAATATTCAGGTAAAAGTAAGCCATTTGGAGCCAAATAGAGAAATATATTAGACTCCATTTCTAATTGAGGAAGTGACTTATGTTGGCACCTGTTTTATAGTGAAATTACTAGCAAAATGTAGGGGAACCTCAACTGTTGCTAAAGTAATAGCTAGTGGAGTAATTTATCAAATGCTCTAATTAAAAAAAACAGAATAATTGGCAAAACAATAATTAGCAAAATAATTCACAAGGAGCCCCTAGAAAAAGTCACACATAAATATATAAAAAAGTAATAGAAACATATATTTATCTGGATAGATAATTTCCAACTTCAGACTAAGAAACTATTTTTAAACACTCATGCAGACAGAAATGGGAACTGCCCTCACAAATCCATGGAGAAATCCTTTATTTTAAATAAAACCCTGTCTGTGTAAATTTAAAAGTGAAAGCAACTCTAAAGTGTTCTAAAACTGCTGGTGAGAAAGACTATTTAAGAGTCACTCATAAGAGCAATGTTCTGTGTAGCTCACACTGAAAATTGATAACATAGCTCAATATATTTTGTAAGTACTACACTATGTAAGAGACTTCATCTGTAAAAAATATCCTATGTATTTCAAGTATGAATGTCTATCATAAGTCAAGTTTCCGGATGCCTAAGCATGGTATGTAACCGCAAACCTGTTATCAGCTAGCATCTCTGACAGGTGCCTGGCAAAAATCCCTTCAGATATTTCAAACACTTTAAATAGTACACACACTGAATGTTTTTCAGTCTAACAAGAAGCAAGATGTTAGCAAGTGACAGTAGAAACTTTGTTTATAATTTGTTGGATATTAGAAAAACAAGTAAATGATAAATATACTTCCAAGAATGTCATTAATTTGTGTTTGTTATTTACAAAATACCCAGCATTATTATAGTGCTGTGTTTAAATAGGCCTTGTTTGCCCATTTGCAATCTTAAAATTAATGCTTTAAAAATAATGGAGTTGTTTAGACCCCCAAAGCTCTTTGAACTGCACTATAAATAAGAATCATTTCATCCTCCATTTACTCTTTAATAATTATGAAGTCAAACAGCTTTGAGCATTTCATTCTCCATTGCCTTTTCAAATTTTTAAAAGTATATGTTTAAGTCATGGAATGGGAAGGATCTGATTAGTTCCTTTTAAAATGAATTGGAACATCAAATGCAAAAATGTCCAACTGGCTTAATTTCTAACCCTAGCAACTTCTCAAAATGAAGTAGAAAAAAATAATTCATTTGTGTGCATCAAAAATTTACTGTTTTTCTGTGTGTACAGTTATATAAATTTCCAACGCACTTATTTTTTAAGAACATATATGGCTGTACTGTACACTGCAAATACCACAGCAAAATGCCAGGAAAGAATCTTTATCATTCAAAGTTTCTTATTTGTAATAAAAAGATATAGGAGTATCTGACTCTCATTATGTATTATAAACTGATCATTTCATTACAATATACAGGTAAATAATCGTCATTACCAGCTTTTTACAAAGGAAGGAAGGTTCAAGCAGTTGATCATTTAGTATGCATTAAGCTGTGTTTCTCTGTCTGAAAAACTTTTAAGATGTGAAGTCTTCAACTACAGCCTGAGGACTTCTAGAAATTGAAGTCCACACATCTTACAAATTACAGTGAGAAACACTGCACTAAGCCAATCCAAAGGTTTAACACCTTTTATTTCTCTATTTGTAATAGGAAATAGTCATAAAATCACTTCACAAAAAGTTTGGTGTCATCTAATTTTAGCTATGCAATGGCAAAGTAGATTTTGGAAATTGCAAAACATATTTGAGAGCTTATTGGAGTGTCCTCAGGTGGCCCATGCCTATTATATACAGGGAACAGCTAGCAAAATTTCAATACTCTCAAATGTAGGAGATCAGGGTGATGGAAAGTTAAATGCAATTTTTTTTCTCAAAAAGGGAGAAAAGAAGTTAGTGAAAAGAATGGCACAAATCACTGCCACAAAGAGGAGATTACACGTGGCCACATTTCAGATACAGAAAAGCGGTCTGAGAGAATTAAGATGACCCAATTACTGTGACAACTAAAAGAAAGTCACAATAATCAAGACTGGAAATAAGAGGATGAATTAATGCTGAATAAATCAAAATTGTAAGGTGGAATGAAAATATACTATAAAATATGAGAGGAAAAAGGTAAACAACTTTATTGCAGTAGGACAAAGTGGTGTTGAAAAAACTGAACAAGGGAAATAAAAAAACATTGTGATGTAGTGAGGTAGAGGGGAATAACAAACACTAACAAAAGAGGGAAGGAAAACATTAACGAAGTCATTGATTTGCTATCTCTGGAAAACAAAAGATGAAGGCTTAAAAAGCTTTATACCAAGTACCTTCCTAAAGATGATTGTTTGTTCCGCTCTCAATGCTGACTGCACACCATGTACTTTAGCTGCTGCTATCTATCCACAAACTAGAAATATCACAAAAACTGGGTTGGCAGGGATTGCAAAAAATGCAACATTGGGGTGGAGCCACTTAGCATGATCTTGTTCCCATATTGAGATAAATACTTTGTATACTTTGGGAGAGCTGCAGACCAAAATGTCCGCAAAACTCCAAGCTGGGGAAGATCTGAAGTGGATTAATATAAACAGCAATGCTGGTGTTTATGGACAGACTGTAGCTAAGTCATCTTGCATGGCATATTGGACGGCTAGCAAATATGTAAAGGGATAGTTAAGGATGTATCAACGAGGAAACCATAGAAAGCAGCACCAAAATACTGACAAAATGAGAAATTATTAATCAAACGTGTTATACAATAAACGGCCAAACAATATATAGCGAAAATGAAGACTTGTCGATCTGCTGCAAAAATATTGCTGAGGGGGGGGGGGGGAAATCAGGCACACTCTGTAAAATGAAAATTCTGAAAATAAGATCAGAATCTGTTTATAAGATCTAAGAAGCAGAAAAAACAAGGATGGAATATGCTTGAGAGCACTAACACGAAAAATGAAGTGAATAGAGCTATGCAGCATTTAAGATGCAAAACAAAAGGGTGCTTTTGAGCTTAAAGGGACAGCATGCTCTCAAACTCCTTAAAGTAACTCTCCCACCCACCCCCCTTCTCGTTGTTCCACTGTCTCAAGAAACGATGGATTTGAGCAACTGGCGACAGATGTTTTGTGTACATCCTGCCTGCTCTAGAGCACTTTTGTGGCTTAGAATCCAAAGCTTTGTTCAACAAGAGATAAAGGAGTAAAATGGGTAAAAATAAAGGGGAAAAGATAAATATGCATAGGTGACCAAGAGAAAGAAGAGAACTGGAAGTCAGAGAGCACGAATGTGTAGTAGAAAGGAGAACTGAGAGAGTAAGCAACTTTCAAAAAGAGAAGGGGTTATCAAGCAGAAGAGAAAATATATTCTCATTGGAAGAAAGGAAAGATAAACACCAACCTGAAAAGGTAACAAGAGAAAAACTGCACATGACATTATGGTAAGTTAATGATAAACAAAGACAAGAAGGAAACAATGTGTCCCTTTAATACTGCATGCTATTTCTGCTGACTTCCGTCTGCCAGCAGTTTGGCAGTTTGATTCTGACTGGCTCAAGGTTGACTCAGCCTTCCATTCTTCTGAGGTGGATAAAACGAGGACCCAGATTTTGGAGGCAATAGGACTGACTCTGTAAACTGCTTAGAGATGGCTGTAAAGACATAAGTCTAAGTGCTGTTGCTATTGCTATTTCAGAATCTTATTGAGTCCAACAGCAGTAAGGATGTAATTCTATGGGATAGGTTTCTCAACCTTAGCAACTTTAAAATGTGTGGACTTCAACTCCTAGATTCCTAGGTATTCTGGGAATTGAAACCCATATTTCTTATATCTGCCATGGTTGTGAGGGAATATTAATTTACATATGATTGCATATACACACATATTTATTGCATTTAATGTTTTCTGCATATTTTACCCACTCTTTATATTTTTCAATGTTCAGTCATGATTGTAAAATACTGGTAAGCTGGCATGGAAAATGTTGTTTTGAGGCATGTATTTTTAAAACTGATTAAATACAGTACTGTGAAAGAAAAATTAGAGTCATCAATATGCTTCACCTGTATATCTTCTTCTTCACATTCCTTTTTATATTTCCTTGGAAGAGTCTCTACTTCTCGAATATCTTCCAAAGTAACTTGCTGAGGAAGGACCTCAAATAAAGATGTCAAATACATAATAATGGATTTCTTATCAGGAAGCTGTACAGCAACATCTGAAAACAGAGCATATACATGGGATACTTATTTAATGGCTATGCAAGATTTCCAGGCTAAAGTTATGACAGAGCCATAAAACTACACTCATTATCTTCCAGTCAATAGCTTCAAAATAGCTATCCCCCACAAAACACAATAATTCAGCAAAGCAAGTACAAAACCTGAATTACTAAACTGAGAACCATCACTTCTCTATTATCAAGTTTTACCATCATAACTATGCTAGCAGATGGATTTAAATCAATGTTTAAAAAGCACAACATGAATAACTGCAGGATATGCAAACTATCTATTAATGTTTAAACATCTATAACAAGGGCAGACAAACCTATTTTATACCTTGGACCTGGGCCCAGTTTCATTTATTTTGAAACTTTTTTGATCACTGGGGAGCCAAGATAATTTGACTAGCAATGTGGCATATCACTATAATTTCCGATATGCTTTTCGCTAGTGATTGGTGTTTTAAGAGAGATTAAGGGATAAACATTAATGTGACTATTTTGCTTCATTTTGGGGGTGGGGGAAATGTTATTTTGTTCATTTATATTTTATAAATGCAGAGGACTAGTCAATATGAGAACTATGTGTCCATGCAATTGTTCTGATGTTCTTTAACTAATTAACCATTCAAAAATCATTAAAACTGAGCAAGAATCAATCACATTTCTAAATTTAGCTGTATAATCTTTTGAATGTTCTTAAAATCGCCCAATTGTGCTACAAAACTGCATAATGCCACAGGTAAGGGGTCCCTAATTTCTTATCAAAGCAACACTGCCCCCTTTCATCTTTAATATTCTCTACCTCTAACAGAAAGAAATTATGAAGCAGTTATACAGTATTCTCATATTTATACCTTCAGGGTCTAGCAATTTTTCTATTCCCAAGTTATTTTTAGCTACGTTGAAGGCATGTTCTAATCTTTCATGTTGAGCCATTTTGGTGACTTTATCCCAGCTGAAGAGTTCAGGTCTAAAAAAAATATGATTTTTTTTAAAAAGCAAAACACTTGTATGAATTAGATATAACAATAAACCCAAGTAAACAGCTTATGAAGACATCAAATTCTAAACAATTGCTGACATTTTGTGGAAAGAGAAACAATGGGAGATTACATAACTATTCCCTAGAAATGTAGGCCGCCATACTTCAATAAGAAGGTTCCTTCCAACTAAGCGGATTTTCCTAGATGCATTATTTGTTTTTCTTTCTTCACTCTTAATATAAAAACATGAAATTAAGAGATTTGTGGGAACCAATAATACAATGCAGGGGTGTCAAACTCGCAACAACACATCATCATGTAATATATCATAACTTTTTTCCCCTTCGCCAAAATAGGGGTGGGGATGGCCAGCACATGATGGATTCAGCCCGTTGGCACAAGTTTGACACCCCTGATATAGGGCATTGTAATATTCAATAGTGCTTATGTTGTTTTCATAAACACTAAAATGATGACACTGAATAGCTAAACATAGGGTTGAAGCACATGTTTATGTAAAGGTAAAGAAAAAGGTTCCCCTCACACATATGTGCAAGTCGTTTCCGATTCTAAGGGGCGGTGCTCATCTCCGTTTCAAAGCCGAAGAGCCAGCACTGTCCAAAGACATTTCCATGGTCATGTGGCAGGCATGACTCAATGCCAAAGGCACACAGAATGCTGTTACCTTCCCACCAAAGGTGGTTTCTATTTTTCTACCTGCAGTTTTTTTACATGCTTTTGAACTGCTAGGTTGGCAGAAGCTGGGACAAGTAATGGGAGCTCACTCCATTACACGGCACTAGGGATCCGTTATGTTATGTACATAGTATGCAATATGTACTGTTCCTGTTCTTATTAGAACCCATGTACTTTCTCTGCTTCATGGAAAAGCAGAGTCTGCTACATGCTGTGTATGAAACGGAACATGTTTCAACCGCTTAGAATAATTTCAGAGTTGTTCAACTGGTTTCAATGACACCTAGTCCAGATTATATTTGCAAGGAATGAGGCCTATGAATCCATATACCCTCAAAATGAATAATTTTCTTTATGCAAATAGATGGTGTAGGACAGCGATGGCAAACCTTTTTTGGCTCGCGTGCCATAAGTGGGGGAGCGCAGGGGGGGTCGTGTGTGGGCGTGCTGTACCCATAATGCAATGCGCAACCCCACCCACCCCCCATGCAAAAAATGGCTTTAAAAAAGGGTGAACTGACAGGGTAGCACCTTGCATGCCCTGACAAATGGCTCCGCGTGTCACCTGTGGCACGCATGCCATAGGTTCGCCATCACTGGTGTAGGACTTCAATTAGCACATCATTACATTATCAGATTTTCAAAGAAAAAATGTTTATTATATCTTTCCATGTAAAACTAGAAAGATGGGTATTTGCACTTCATGTTTTCCATGTTTGTTCTTTAAAAGAATGACAGAAAATTATTGCCTTCTCACAAGAATTAGAAACCACTCAATTAAAACATGCTCTGTTTTCTCTCAATCTAACCTGTGCCAAATGGCTTTAAAATAATTCCAAGGATTATTTATTGAAAACTAAGGTCAGTTTTTTTCTGCTCTGTAACGAAATGCTACACTGATAAATTTCCCCTCCAGTACAACAATATTACATATGCTGGCAAGCAGCCACCTACCTATGCCTGTGGATCAATGCATTGAAAGCAAGCCCATTTGTCCAGCTGGTGGTGAAATTCAAAACGTTAACTTCATTATATGACTTTGTGGACTGCCGCACCCAGCTCAACAAGATCTTTTCACTATTGGTTTGCTGTAATTCTGACATTATATCTTTCATCACATCTTTAACCTAAAAAGAAGGGTTCAAGATCCATAAAAAAGAATTATGTAAAGGTAAGGGTTCCCCTACAAATGTGTGCTAGTCGTTTCCAACTCTAGGGGCAGTCCTCATCTCTGTTTCAAAGCCAAAGAGCCAGCCCTGTCCGAAGATGTCTCCATGGTCATGTGGCCAGCATGACTAAATACTGAAGGCACACAGAGCGTTGTTATCTTCCCACCAAAGTGATCCCTATTTTTCTACTTGCATTTTTTACATGCTTTCGAACTGCTAGGTTGGCAGAAGCTAGGACAAGTATAGGACTCCGTTCCACGGCGATAGGGATTCGAACCACCGAACTGCCAACCTTTCTGACTGACAAGTTCAGCGTCTTAGCCACTAAGCCACCACATCCCTACAAAAACATTTTCTCAATCTTACCATTCAAACAACACTGCAAAGTGTTAAATATTAAAAATAGATATTGAATTATGCCATACCAAAGCAAATAAAGACTCAAAACATTATTTCTATCTAAATTACACCATATATTAATTCTTCTGTTTTACACTTTAATCTAAGTTCTCTGTATTCCTTAATGAGATTTGTACATTAAGAAAACTGTAGTACCTGCCCTAAAATCCTACTCTGGTTCCCAAGCTTGCAATCAATGTCTTCCATTAACAAATTATTTAGCCTTGGAATCCCATTGAATAGTTTTCTTGGATATTTCTACAAGGAATCTGATGGTTTCTTATAATTAAAATACAGATAATTTTTTTATATTTCATTAGAAACATTTAGGATGCCATCGGCTGAAAAAGCAGTAGAATTTGGAGGTGGAGAAATTGTTTCATAAACAAACAAATCAAGCTTGAAGCATCCCATTCTGAATTCACAACAGGTTGTTCTGACCTCATTACAAGTGTTCAGAGATTTTCCATCCAGGCCATAAATATTTTGAGCACAGTATACTTCTAAAACAACATAAAAATGTTTTCAATAAGATCACTTTACTGAACTGAAAACAGTATATTTCAAATTCAAAACCTATGCTAACCCACTAGTATAAACCAATCTTGAACTGATAAGGTATGACAAATAGTTCAAGTTCCTTCTTTCACAGTTATAATGTATTGAGTTACAAACCAAAATTAGAAATGCAGCATTGGATTTAACAAATCAAACTTTCTGTTCTGTCCAATATACCTAAATTTCAGATAGAGATTCTCTAATGGACTCAGTGGTAAACTATATTAATCACTTTAAATGGATCTCATCTTTATCATACATATAAAATCTGGTTCCAATGACATTTCCAGCCCTAATTTCAGACTTACATAAAAATCCATCTTCCTGATCCCTTCCAGATGCGGTAAAGAAATCTAAAGCAGTTGTTTCCCATTTCATTTAAACAAAGGGGCAAACAACCAATTCCTATGTTGTCTAAATTGAGGACATTCTGGTTTATTCAAATTATTAATTCAAAATCTAGCTTGCAAATTCTTATAATTAATTCATTTAAAAAATAATTTCTATTTTATAAATATTAAATTACATAAGTTACATTATTATTATTACATGATCTCATTACCCCTCACTAACTACCTGTAATGTCCATATGGACCAACTGTAGTTACAGACCATAGACTGGAAATCATTGTTCTGAACATAGCACACAAAGAAGATGGAAGAGGAAGCCCAGAAATTTCAAAGCCCATAGTCATTTTAAACACAAACCTGTAGATTAGCACCAGATACAAAAATCTTTATGCATGGCATCTTAAGGGACCAGCGAACAGAGAAAGCAAATAACAAAATGTGCATCATGTTGCAATGTGAATTCTGCCTCTATAGCACAGGATTTGCAATGTAGCATACAAGTATGTAAAGGATGGACCTGAAAACTCTATAAGAAGTTTCACACTACATTGCAAGTTGTTGCTTAGAGAAGTGTTTCTGAACCTTGGCCACTTTAAGATGTGTGGACTTCAACTCCCCAAATTCTCCAGGCGGGTGGGGAAGTCCATACATTTTAAAGTGGCCAAGGTTGAGAAACACTGGCTTAGAGTACCCAGAAATTGAAGGCCGGTTGGTCATCTGCCATGAAAGTTCTATAGCATCCCCAGCTGATATTCCACCAATACCCATCAATGCATGCTACTGCAAAATAATGATTCACACACATGGGCTGAGAAAAGGTATCAAATCTGCTCACCTGCCAGTGCAAAATTACGCTCCATAACAATCCAAGTGTCAATTTGTGATTTCCATCAACAATGTCTGTCCCTCCTATGTTCACCAGATCCACCTGGAAATATTATCAAACAATAAAAATGTCTTCTTAATCAAAAGCATGCAAACTTTAAAGGAACTAGTAGAAAGTGGGGAATAGAGAACCAATGGCCTCCCAGCTGTTACTCTACTATAACTCTCACCATAGTGTCTCACATTCCCTGAATCACCTATGTAACTTAATGATTTAATTGTACGTGAATAATTTAATTTAGATCAAATGAAGTACTATATAATGTGCTGATTTTAATATACTGACAATATGATCAGTTGTGAAATAAAAAAAAATACTACTGGCTTGGTGGGCATGGCAGGGGAAGGATACTGCAAAATCTCCACTCCCACCCCACTCTGGGGCAAGCCAGAGGTGGTATTTGCCAGTTCTCCAAACTACTCAAAATTTCCGTTACCGGTTCTCCAGAACCTGTCAGAACCTGCTGAATTTCACCCCTGAATATGATGATCAATTCACAGGAATTTATTTTATTTAAAAAATATGACACCAGCAGGAGGATGAGCATATACTATAAAGGCATAATTAATGAATAGAATATAAGCAGGTGGCAGTTGTGATCAGGAGGGCTTTTTACAGCCTTACTCCCTACTCAGAGTTATGCTATGCTCTAGTCACCTCCCATCTTGGCTATTGTAATGAGCTTCTACATGGGGCTACCCTTGAAAAGCACCCAGAAGCTTCAGTTGGCTCAAAATGTGGTGGCCCACATGCTTTTGTGCAAACCTAGACGTGCACATGTGTCACCTCTCCTGGACTGGCTGCTTCCGGGTCAAATTCAAGATGCTGGTTGTCACCTTCAGAGCCCTACATGGCTTGGGGTCAGAGTATTTGAAGGACCATCTTATCCCAGTCATATATACCTGACCTACAAGAATAAGGAGGCAGGGAATGCTAAGGGTCACCTTAAGGAGGACCATCTAGGGCAGGGATGTCAAACTCAAGGCCCTGAGGCTAGATCCAGCCCACAGGATCTGGCCCATGGAGTCACCCTGGAAATAGTGAAGGACCAGACCATGATGCCTCTGCCAGCAAAAAAAGAGCTCAGGAGGGCTGTGCACAGCCATTGCAAACTCTGTTTTTGCTGGCAGAGGGTTGCTGGAGGCTGTTGCAGCCAAAAATGGAGTTTGAGAGCCCGTTTTTGCTGGCAGAACGCTCGGGCTGCCACAGATGCACCCAAGATGAGTGGTATCAATCTGGTCACACCCACCTTGGCTACGCCCCCCCATACCCTCAAGGTCAAAAACAACCCTAATGAGTCCCTCAATGAAATCGAGTTTGAAAACCCTGATCTAGTGGGATCAAGAAGAAAGGCCTTCTATGTGATGTCTTCCTACTTGTGGGAACATCATCCCTGAGGAAATAAGATTGGCCCTCACTTTGACACTTTTTCACAAGCTCTGAAGACATAGTTCTGCCAACAGGCTTGGACATTCCAGAGTGATATGGAGCCCATCAAGCAGCTTTTCTGATTGTTGTCACTAGGAAGGTTGAGGTGGGGATATTGCTTTTGTACTCTCTAAGCCAGTGGTTCTCAATCTGTGGATCGCAGCCCCTTTGGGAGTCGAATGACCCTTTCACAGGGGTCGCCTAAGACCATTGGAAAACACATATTTTCGATGGTCTTAGGAACCGAGACACCAATTTTATGGTGGGGAGTCACCACAACATGAGACATTGGGAAGGTTGAGAACCACTGCTCTACGCCATCCAGAGTTATAGAGAGTGAATTGGGTGTCCATATAAATTTTCATAAATAAATAAATCAAATCTATATAAAACTCCTTATCTTTCATTTTTTGCAAAATAAAAATTCTCATGCTATCAATGCAACCTTTGCATTGCAAATATTTCCAAAGTTATTGCCACAACATACTTATCAGTAATAAGAAAACAAAGTTTTTACATTTTCCCATTAAAAAGTTCTATTACTGAGTCAATACCATAAATCTTCTAATGTAACTTGACCACTTTTAGCTTCTTGATGTTACCAGCTCATTCCCAAAGCTGAGCTCTTTTCCTAAAGGACAATTATATCGCAGCCTGAATTTACCTTACAAAACTTTTGTAAAAAAGTTTACAAAAATAACTTTTTGGGGGGAAAAATAATTTGTCATGTTACAAGGAAAAGGCAATTTCCAGAAGCTGAACCTGCCAGCTCCAACTCTCTTCTCCTCTACACAAGGGTATATCATAGATCATTCTGAAGGAGCTTTTAATTCCAGGGCCAGATTCTGGAGAATGTACAGAGTAAAAAAAGAATGCAGGCATCAGGAAAGACATGTGCTGTAATTGTGTTTAATTCAGTAAATAGAGTCAAGCTAGTATTCAAGTCTAAGGCTAGACAATATTTAATTGGATAATTACGTCTTACAAGCCAATGAATCAACAACATCTCTTATGAGTCTAATGCACCTGAGAACAGTCTGAAGTCTATACAAACAAAATTATAATTTGGCTCGGCCGCACAAAATAAATATTCATACTTTTCATCTACAGCCCCTTATGATCTCCAAGAACAAGAAATACAAGTTCACTTCATTCCATATAGCACACTTGGTTATCTGCAAAGTACAAGCAACTAGGAAAATTGAAAGGAGGCATGTTAAGTTGTACAAATTTTTAATCCACATACCCCTACTGAAAGACAGATTTTTCAAGAAAACAATTTTACAATTTATCTTTTCCCCTCAAGTTTCAAAGAAAATAAAGGATTTAAAAACTTACATTGTTCTGATGTAAAACCTGAAGTACTTTGTTGACATTATTCAAAGCATGGACTCTAGTCGTTCCACGTTCTTTTAACTTGCAAAAAGAAAAAAGAGAACAATATGCAAATAATAATAATAAACACTACAATTAACTTTTCAGGAAAAGCCCAATTAAAGCAACAATGCAGATTTTGGACTGAACTGAATACATATTCCCTTTCTTTTATCCAAGTAACAGGACTGCAATACCCTGCAGTATGCATTATTTTGGTAACATATGTCAAAACATTTTAAGAACAATACTATACAAAATGCACTGTAGCAAACTTTAGTTGTGTGCATTCTTTTTCTCTCTTCAAGCATGAGTTTAGAGAAGCACATTTTACAATTTTGTTTAAAAATTGAAAACTGGTGTAGAAACATAATTTACAAACCATGCATATCAATGCTCTTGTTAATTAACTAAATTAACTATATAGAGTTCTATTTCCAACAGTGGGAGAAATAGGTTTAAAACCTTAGGCTTAAAACATTTTGCTTCCTGCTGAGGATACTAAATTAGCTAAACTAATTGTCACTGGGAAATATAGACCAGTGTTATTCAACCTTGACAACTTTTAATATGTGTGGACTTTAACTCCCAAAATTCCCAAGCCAGCCAACACTAGTACTGATATTGTAAATAAGCAAAGGCATGGTATTTTAAATTATCTTTTCAAGATAATGGTAATTGCCACTTACCAGTGGATTCCCTGTTAGTCCTTCTAAAAGATCTAAGAGTTTCCTCCCATCTCGAAGATCTGTGAATATGTCCTTTATTGGCTGTTTTCCAAACTGTAAAATAAGATAAATAATTTTTAGAAAATAACTTTTGAGTCCAAAATACAACATAAACAAATAAAGATTTTGAGTCCAAAATACAACATAAACAAATAAAGATGGAAAAGAATAGCACCAGAAAAACTTTGTACTCCAGGAAGGAGATAGAAAATCAGAGATTTCTCTTGCAAGGAAATATTTTAGGGGATTTATTTTAAATACATGGAGACCAGAAGAGTTGCAGAATCTTTCAGCTCTCTGTCTAAAATAACATCCATCCACCAGCCTCCACCATTATACCATCAGAATACTTAAAATAGGTAGAGTGCTACTATATGATGAAAAACTAGTCTTTAAACAAGGAAATGGGTGGAAACTAATCAAGGAGAGAAGCAACTTAGAACTAAGGAGAAATTTCCTGACAGTTAGAACAATTAATCAGGGCAACAACTTGCCTCCAAAAGTTGTAAATGCTCCAACACTGGAAGTTTTTAAGAAGAGATTGGACAACCATTTGTCTGAAATGGTATAGGGCCGTGATGGTGAACCTATGGCACGCGTGCCACAGGTTGCACATGGAGCCATTTGTTAGGGCATGCAAGGCATTGCCCTGTCAGCTCCAGTGCACATGCTCCAGTCATTGCCCTGTCAGCTCCAGCTCCAGCACGCTGGCCAGCGAAAAACAGCCCTACTGGCAATCCAGAAGTGACTTCCAGTTTGTCAGTAGGGCCGCTTTTTGCCCTATGTAGCCTTCAGGGAAACCTCCTGAAGCCTCCGGGAGGCGTGGGGGCTGTTTTTGCCCTCCCCAGGCTCCTAGAAAGCCTCTGCACCTGGGGAGGGTTTAAATGGGTCCATCACGGGCCAAAAGCAGGGGGAGGGCAGGGGTTATGCGTGCATGCATGCGGAGAGTGTTACGCGCATAGCATTATGGATGTGGGCACGCCCGCGCATGCCCCCCTGCTTTTGGCATGCGACCCAAAAAAGGTTAGCCATCACTGGTATAGGGTTTCCTGCTTAAGCACTAAGACTAGAAGACCTCCAAGGTCCCTTCCAACTCTAAATCCAGCTCTCCTGTGCAGAAGTGAAATGCTACTATGGAAGCAGTAGATATAGGTAGTCCTCAACTGACAACAGTTCATTTAATGACTGTTAGAAGTTACAAAGGCACTGAAAAAGAGTGGCTATGACCATTATTCAACTTACAACTATCACTGCATCCCCATGGTTACATGATCAAAATTCAGATGCTAGGCAACTGACTCATATTTATGATGGCTACAGTCCCACGATCATGGGATCCCCTCTGGCAACCTTCTGACAAGCAAAGTTTATTTGGAAGCCAGATTCACTTACCAACCATGTTACCAACTTAACAACTGCAGTGATTGACTTAACAACTGTCTCTTTTAGCAACATAAATTTTGGGCTCAATTGCAGTTGTAAGTCAAGTTGTAATTAATAATTTCAAAGCATCTCCTTGCAACCTAGCCATGGAATGACTGTAAGGGGGAAAAGAGAATAATTTGGGCAGTATCATTTCCAGATATGAAAATGTCATACTCTAGAACTGTTCATAAAAAGAAAATTTCCAGTTTAAGATGAAATGATAAGGTATAAAAGATAAACAAATGCCCACCCCCAACCCTCATTCCCATCTCAGACTGTCATCCTCTGTAGTTTAAGCAAGCTATATCTGGAAAGCTTAAGTGCTACATTATTCAATAAGAACTATATTCTTGGTTGCACGTCCTTCTTCAATAAGATCACAATTCAAGCTTGAAAAGCCTACTTTATGTTGATAAAGTTCACAAAGGATGCATTCTTCTTTTTTGGGAAAAAGTCTATTACAAATAACTTCAGCTCTTTTGCTTGCTTCCACCCTTTGTTTAGCTTAAACTTGAGTGTTTCCAATCTATCACCAGTTTGTTTTTCTCTATATATATTAATTCCTTCTAACTCACCCAACAACAAATTTAACACAAGGCAAATTCAGTTTGAATTCACAGGCCCTCAATAGCTGGAGTTTAGTTAATCAGTTTTCAAAATATCTTAATGCAGAAATACGACTAAGTTCTGGAAGGATATTTAAACAGGGACGTGCAGTCAGGGGAGGCAAGGGAGGCAGGGCTTCACCAGTGTCATGAGGAAAAGAAAAGAATTTTTAAAATAATTAAAAAGG